ATCCCAATTTCTGGAAGACATGCTGTAGGGCTGCTACATATTTACTGCACACTCGCTCTTTGCAACCTCAGAAATTCTGTTGGGCCTTGGTAAAGTTCCATTCCTAAGGAGTTGGGAAGAGAGTGATAGAGGACATGTGAGATTTTGAGAAAGAATTCATTTTGGAGATCTACAGAGCCAAGATACTATGGTATATATGGGATTGATGGTTGGGATATAATATATTGAAATTTTAAAAGGATCTGTGTAGTATCTACTCTGAATGCTTTTAATTACAATTCTGCATATACCTACCACCACCACCACCACCAAAGCCATTTAATTTTTTCTACCTATTTGGTCTGGCCTGCCACCATGCCTCTGCAGAAGGGGCTGTGACTTGCCTGATCTCCAGTAACAACCTTGCATAGACTCTCATTCTGATGGAAGGTTATACAAACATCTTGCCATTACAGCTGTGGTAAAAGTAGTTTTTCTAAGTGCCTAATATTATTTAGTAGACACATTTAATCTTCATTCTCCTTAAAATATTTAACTGAAACTGCCATGTTTTTTCTGCTTTGGAAACTTTCTAAAGCCATGCTATCATTTACAGACTACACATTTCTATTTATGGATCAGGAACAACTCAAGATGCTAATTGCTTTTGGCCACTCCCTTCACTGTGTGTCTCTCACAGGAAAATTATTTAAACTCCATGTGTTTTTCTTTTTCCTTCTAACACCTTTTGTTAGATCATGATACCAGTATAGGAAGTTATTCGAGCACCATGCCTGTGTTATGGGATCCCTTTTTGATTCCCTAAGAAGTAAAGCAAATGTTCAATTATTGCCAAGTCCTATATTAAAATTATGGTTTGCAACCTATGGCATCAACTATGATTTTTTGGAAGTTGTTGAAATGTTGTCAAACAGTAAATTCCCTGCTTAATACACAAACTTGAGGTGTGACATCTTGATAGCTCTTTAATGAGCTGTTGTGGCCATAAAGACATTGGAATGTTCTCCACTTGCAAATGTATTCTTAGAAGAATATAGAATACATTTGAAACTTAGAATGTCTGTTCTGGGGGATAATGCTGAAAAAGACTTGCTGACTTTATTTATGATGCCTCCTACTAACTCCTTTATCAGAGATCTGTGACTAGATGGTGGTGGTAGTTCAGCTGTTTTAGCAAAGTACCGTATGTTTGGATTCTGTTTCTTTGCACAGCTTTATTGAAAGTGACCACAGCCACTCAGAATTCTGGGGTCAACATTAAATGTCTCCTCAGCACATGTGCCAACAGAAACTTTAGCTGATCCAGAGAGTCCTGTAAACTTACAGTGCTTTTGTCATATTTTCTAACCTCACTACCTTTTTCACTGATTTTGATGCTACAAAGCATGTATTTACTTTTAACTATTAAAAGGAAATTAATTTTAATTTATTTTGCAAGATATTTTTTTTCTTTTAGAATTTCACAACGCCCTTTTGAAATATTTAGAGATACCCTAGGGTGTTGCAAACAGAGGATTAGAAACAACTGTCATTATTTCAAGGCTCTTTCTTAAAAAATGCGATCTTTGTCTTCTCAGCCATACTTAGTGCTGTTTTCCTGAGATGTCCACGTTCTTTCTCTTCTCTCTTAATTGGCATTTGCTTCATTTCTCATATAAAAATACAATAAAATGTTCTTCCAATATTTTTATTTCTGTGTACTCTTGGGCTTTTCTGGGTGACATACCATTTTAGTTATAAAAGTTTCCTAGTTAAGCTTGTAATGTGTTGTATAATCTCTACCCTATGTTATTCCCCAGAGGTCATCATACTAACTGTTGAAAGATAACTTCTATTACATGACTGGTGTTCTAATTCATTAAGCCAGTATTACTCAAGGGTGAAGATAAATTTATCAGAGATTAAAAATTATGATAGGAAAAAAAATACTATGAATACAGGAAAGAGACATACCCTGAAATATTGAGAAATTGTCCAAGCATATCTGATTTTAGATTGAAGGGACAAAAATCACCTAATCTTTTTGCTGAGCACTGAAAGGATCAATGGGTAAAAACCAAGTGAACAAAGGGGTGAAGAGAAGGCAGAGGGAATCTGTACAGGGTGATGGTCTGAGCATAGCATAGGACCAGGGCCTGGTAAGCACTGCAGCGTGTGAGCAGATTATACTGGCCGAAAAGAAATACCATATGTTAAGAAGTAGTAAGAGAAGAAGTAATGTGTGGTAGAATAAAGAAGGATTTGAGTTTTTAGCTCCAAATAAGGAACTGGGTTGATAGTCTCAAAAGAGTAAGTTTGTGATACTCTTTGGGGTAAGATTTGTCTGTGTGCATTTCTCTCTCTTTTTCTAGACTTTTTGGAGAAAGTAGGTCAGCTAATCCATTCAAAAAGTTGCAAGATGTTGAAGTATTTTGTAATGTTTGACATAAACTGTTAACAAAAGGGAAAAGGTCTGGAGTCATGAAAATTCCTGTGCAGAGAAAATTAGATCACTTCTACTTTTGAGGGTCAGCTCTTCTGTCCACAGCCTGCCTCGCTCTCTCCCGGTGTAGTCATCCTGTCCGCTTTCCCAGGGGAGGAGTGATGTGCTACACCCGGTCAGGTCTAAAGGCAGAAGTGTGATGGCACTGTGCATCCTGGGCTCTTAATCAAACAAGAATGCAGCCTAAGCACACTAAGATTCCTCACTCTTTTCTCAACAAGGGGTTGGAAACAGGCGACCTAGGTTTCCATTTATTGTGAGACCTAATAACCTTCTAAGGTAGCACAATGTGTGCTTTACTTACCTTTTCCATTCTGTTGAACAGGATGGAATAACTCTAGGATTAAAATAGGCGCATAACTAAGAAGGGAAATATCGACTCGGATAAAATCTAGCTTATAGCTCAATTATAAAGTACTTCATCAAAACAGAATGTAATTAGGACAAGACAGCAGCAGTCAGCATCAACCTGGGCACCAGGACCTGGGGGCTGGCCACTCCTTACTCTGTCGGGTAATGATGGGGGTCTCAAAATGAGAGCAGGAAGTCCAACCTAGTGAGAACAGAGATCCAGCTTTGACAGAGGTGTGGCTGCCCTTCACTGAGTCATTTATGCTGTGAGAGAACTGGACTAGATGAGCTAGACTAGACGAATCTTTTTGACTTTGGATAAACCTCCTATTATCTCTGGGTTTTGATTTTGCCACAGTGTAGTAATAGCAATCTGAGAACCAAGTTCACCAAAATTTCACCAAGCTCTTTAGAAGTACAAAATATTCTGTACAAACCTGAAAATATTAGTACTGGCTGCTGAGGTAAGAGAATGGTTCCCCCAACCTGGGTTCCAAGAAGGGGCTGTTTTTATATTTTCAAAGGCCTACTGAAACCCTTTTCTGTAACTGTATTGAGTTGGTCCTTGATGACTTTGACTGGAATAGAATAAATTTAGTGTGATGACTTTGGGAAGTCCATCCTGTTCAGTGGTGCTGACTGATATTTACATAATATAAATCTTTGATTAATGAGAAATAGAATGTGAATTATTTAATTAGTAAATGCAGTCTTCCCAACAGGTAAAATATTTTAAAAACATGAAACCTTTGTGGAACAAAGAAAGAAAATAATGGAGGTCTACAATCTCTTACCTAAAACTCTTATGGACATGTTTTAGGATTTGGAAAACTTTGGATTTTTGAAATATACTAGACTATCTAGACCATATATTAAGTAACCTCTTCAGTGGGGTCTTGACCAGTTCCCCTTAATTAAACACATTATTATTCCTACAATTAAACATGTCAATAGTCACACAAATAGTAGTGAGATTCCAAAAAATAAAAAAGTGGCCTCATTATAGTTCAGATTGAGTTTTATTACCAAATTAGTTTGACATGAATTTACAAAAATCCTTACATACCTGTTTTGAATTTCTGAATTGTGACTAAAGGGATTGACTTAATTAAGTAACCAACTATTGAGCAACTACTATGTGCCAGATTTAAGATAGTGCCATTTGCACTAATCTTTGTAAACAACCCAACAAACTAGATGTTGCTTTCATTATCCATAATTACAAATCTGGGAATTCAGGCTCAAGCAGCAATCAGTGAGTAGCGAGGCCACACTGACACTGTGGGATCTGAACGCTCACAGCTCCTCTGGCCCCAAAGACAAGACAAAAGACAGTGTTGTTCTTTGCTGCTTGGTCAAGACTTCTGGTTAATGGGATTATCTGCCCCTGTTGCCTGCACAGGTAAAAAAAAAAAAAAAGCCTTGAAAATATAATGTTTCTCTCCTCACTCTGCACAGTCTCCCTGGGAAATTTCATGCAATGTAAGTTAGAAACTAAAAACACCCAGATGGATTTGTATTCTATTCCTGAGAATCACACTTAGATATTCAACTTAATGTTGGGCATCTCCATGTGGTTATCTCACTGACCAGGCAAACTAATCATTTCTCTCCTCAACCCTTGTCCTCTTTCAGAATTCCATATTATACCTTTTCACTTATTCCTAAATTGCCCCCTTCCCCCAACACTTGCTTCCCTTTCCAACTCTATTATTTACCAAATACTATAGGGGTGATGGTGCCACTGGAGAGCCGCCGGGAGGAGGCTAGGTGTTTTCGAAGTGCAGTAACTCAATTTACTAATAAGAAATTTCAGATCCTTTCACCATTCTCGGTATATATTCTCATATATAAAATGAAGGTTTTGATCCTTTGTGCATAGCCAAACTAGCCTTAAATCCTATCAGCTCAGTAATAAACTACCAAACAGAAATCCCTAAGATTTTACTTTGTGTGCTAGACTACTTTATATGCTGTAAGTCTGTCTTTGATTTCAAAATCTCCTGTAGTGTAGCTCTACAGGTGGGTGTGTTGGGATACAGAGTAGCTACGTAGATAGCATGCTTTCCAATAACAACGTCTCTAGCAACTAACCTTTGCTCAAATTTGCCCTGGAATGCTAAAGAGGTGAAGTAATAGTCACCTATTTTTTTGTTCCCATCTTTAGGTAAAAGGCCAGACCTCAAAGTCCACATCAATACCACAGGTGACTCCGTTTTCTTGAAGTTTCTGCGTCCAAATCCTAACGTAAAACTAGAAGGTTTTCTCCTGGGATACGGCAGCAACGTGTCACCAAACCAGTACTTCCCTCTTCCAGCAGATGGGAAATACACTGAAGCCTTAGTGGGTAAGATGTTTGGTTTCAGGCATGGGAAGAAGAGAAGTAAAAGTTACAGCATGACATATAAATCCTGCGGGCAAGCGCCCTTTCTTCTACATCTCAGCCAAACTGAACGCCAACATTACAAATTACTTTCATAATTGTTGTAATCTATGTAACACAATTTGTTACCTAAAAAAATATGTAATACATACTCTGCATGTACAGCCGAAACAATCAACTTCATTACCATTATACCTACAATCCCTGACCACATAACTTTAATTGCATAAGGAAAAAATAAGCTAAAATGCCTGGCTTAAATCTCTGAAACAGAGCTTGTTGGTTTGCATCAATTTTCTTCCCTACTGTGTCTTTACTTTCTTCTGGTGGAAAATAACAACTATAGCTGTCTGGGTGTCTTTTCATGAGAAGCTACCTTTAAAAAGAAAAGAAAATACATAGTACATTTTAAATATTTTAAAGTATTACAGAGAAAAAGATTTAAGATTTTACATTATAAAATTTTATATTTATAAATTTTACATTTCTTTGAAAATGTTTTTAATCACATTAAAATGTAATTTGAAGCATGGGCATCTCCAAATCTTGTCCAGGAAATGTATGTGCAAATAAACCCTTTTTAAAGATAATGTTTTTAGAAAGGGGATCACCTATAATGAACACTTTCAAAGGCTTTCTGAACAGTTTTACAAGAGATTTATATTTTGCTCCATGGTTAGGATTATTGCTAAAGAGCCTTTCCGTGTACTTGTGGTGTTTGATCCTGTAACTTGAACTAGTGCAGGTCAGACCTGCCTTTCATGCATGTATGCAGCAATGTTGAGGATGAGTCGGCTTGGTCCTGCAGCCCCTTGTACTTCATAGCTATGTCTCTGTGGTACTTTAAACTCAGGCAGGAGGATGACATTTTTACTTAAACATCTAGACTAAATTTCATGTAGGATAATCACTTTAAAGAAAACACACTTTGTTACCCAAAAAACCTTGAGCATTAGGCATTTTTGACAAACAACACTACCTTTGATAATATAAACCATAATATGAAAATTGTCAAGTATTCCCCCACCACATTCACTCTTACTGTAATAAGAGCCTGGAAGCTGTATACTTTCCAGTATTTGGTGAATTATAAACTTCCTTTCCAGAGGAGGTAAAAGGCATTCAATCTTGCTGCAATGGAAGCTAGATTTCTAATGAAAAGTATATGCAGAAAACTAAAGAAAATTTCTAGTACAAATATACTAACCGTTCACTGTTTCTATGATGAGGGATAATCAGATGGACTAAGTACCTTCTCTTTGTTTCCTATTTCTTTCATCCTGTAAATACTTTCATTATGGAAAACTTCAAACGTATAGAGAAAAAATATTATAAGGACCCTCATGTCTCATCATGCAACTTGTATATGTATGTCTGTTCAGCTGACCTTGTTCCATGTGTTCTTCACACACACTGTATTTTTTACTTGAATATTTTAAAGCATATCTGAATATCATAGTTTTAAACCTGTGAACTTATCAGTGTACATCTCTAACAACAGATAAGAAATATTTTAATGACATAATTCTACAATATCATGTTATACCTAGTCCGTATTTACATTTCTCTGGTGATCTTAAAAATGCGTTCTTGAAGTTCCTTCCTTTTTGAATCAAGATCCAAACAGTCTATGTTACATTTGGTTATTATGTCTCTTAAGTTTCTTATTCTCTATCTCTTTCCTTTTTAAATGCCATTGGTTTCCTAGACAAATTGGCCATATGTCCTGGTCCATATTCTATACTGAATTTGTTGCTTCTATTTTCTGTTTTTGAACTGGCTTCTCCATCCCCTGTATTTCCTGTAAAAAGATATTCAGATTTTGGAGGCTATATTAGATTTGGATTGTACTTTTTGGGGGAAATAATACTTTATAATACTTTATCAGTGTATTTCTGAACAAACTCACAAAAAGAGGTACACAATGGCTGGTGTCATACTTACTGATATTAAGACTTTTTGGTGTGTTCAGGGGGTTTCAGCATGATCCTTTCATTATAAAATTCACCATCATTTTTAACTTAATGATTTTAACATCTATGGATGATCACTGGCCAGATCCATAATTTTATAAAGGGCTTGTGAAAATAGCAACTTTACATTCTAGGTAAGTTCTAGAGAGAATATAGTTTTATCATCCCTTCTTCATTTGTTAGCTGAAATTCTACAATAAAAAATTTTCTCCCATTAACTGTTTATTTTCCCTTATTTAGTATTTTAGGAAAGGCAGGACAAATTCTCACTGCAATAAACTGGTGCTCTGATAACCTCCAGTGGTAACCCAAGATATTGTTTGTTTTATGGTCAATAACAATGCCTTGATTGTATATATCTAATGGCGTTTAATCAACATTTCACTTAGGAAAACCTTAACATTCTTCTCCATGTCTAGCCTGAATATGTTTGGTTGTTTACCTTGGGTCACTATTAAACTGAATTTCTTGAAGTTTTATGTCTTACTCTGTTATTTGTATCAATTGAGTAGGTAGGCAATAAATATTTGTGGCACTGAGGTAGGCCTCAATAGCTGTAAAAAAAATTTTACTTCTGTGAAATCTTCTAAGATTTTAGTATATTAATTAGATCAGTAGAAAAAAATAGTCTTTTCCCATGTGTCTATTAATGTTAATGGCTTGAGAGTCCTGCAATGGGTGACAAAGCATGATTCACACTTAATAGAACTGCTAGTTTCCGGTACCCTTTTCCCCATATCATGAATGGTCTCATTTCTGGTTTACACATCCAGTTCTTGCTTTGTTAGTTCTATGTTCAGCTGTTGGTAATTTTGCAGATGTCCAATAAAGTTAAAAACAAGAATTTTTGACGTCGAATCTTAATAAACTCACACTTCAGGATGTTCTCCTGACATCTTAAAATACTTTAGTCAATGTCACCTAAGAAGTAAAATTACATCCCATCAATTATGCAGTGCAAGTTGAAGAGTTGTTTTAGAATCCTTACTGCAAGAAAAGCTTGAAGTGAAAAAACATATTTGTCACTATGGTGAATTCTGTCTAAAGAATTTGCCTTCTAACCAGGTTTTAGGACTACGAAGAGGTTGAAGAGGGCAAATATCTTTCATGTTCTCACAGCTGCTGTCCTTACATTCACTGTTCTAATAAAGCTGTTCCTCACTCTCAGCCACTGCCTCTCAGCCACTCTCCCTCATCTGGTCTTGTCTATGGTCCTGTGGATTGGTTGCACTGCTGACGAGGGGGAGGGCACAATACTAGTGCCCTGTAGGTGCTCTGCACAGTGCCTGGGCCAGAATGCTAACATCTGCCATCTAGGAAAAATCTGCCTCCACACCGACAGGCCGCACGATGTCGGGAAGGAATACACATGTACTTAGAAGTCCAACAGATCTAGGTTCAAATTCAACACAACTACTTACTGTGAGGTAGTTCTGGTAAGTCATTTAACTTCTCTTAGTTTCATTTCTCTCATATATAAAATAGAGAATAATCTTTCAGGAGCATCATGAAGCTTATGGATATATCATCTGAGGCGGCAGATCTACACCCTGACACAGATTAGGTGTGTTTCATAAATGTTGTCGGTTGCATTACAACAAGTGAATGGTCAGGGATAACTTGCCTGAGCTTTCTGGGCTGGGTCTGTCTCTGTTGCTAGTAATGACTGGGCTGAGTCACCACCAAAGGTCTGGTCAGCTCTAAGGTTTAGTGCATGGGTTGAAAGCTTTGGCCTAAGCCGTAGTCCTGTGGTTTTGTGTTCTACCTAGTTTGGTGGTGGTTTTGGGGCGGGTGTAGGGGGATAGAATGTCAATAAAATTGTGGTGGTAGATTGTTTTAGCAGAGGTGTCAGTAAATGACAAGAAGTTAGCAAACTCATCTCTTTATCACACCTAAGAAACATTTTCTTGGAAAAGATAACTCCTAAAATAGATTAATAAATAAAAGCAGCAGCAAAATCGTAGACTGTGACACAGCTCGCTGGGTGCACATGCTTCCTTCTTCCACAGTCACCACCATCTTTTAATCATTGAGGGGGGCTCCCTTGACTGCACAGAATCATCAGGTGCCTCAGAATTTCACAGATGGGCCTGTGTATTCAGAGAGGAATAGAATGAATCCTCAAAACAAAGTGCTGAAAGGGTTTGTCATCTCTAGATTTCATGTTCCCAACCTGTGTCTTACTCTAATAAAGAATTTTCAACAAGAGCATAGCAAAATTTTTGCCCTGTCCTACTACCTATAGATCAAAATAAGAGCATAACACTGTTTTGTTTACATAACTGGTGGTAATTTTATCTCAGCAAGTCCAGACCAAAATTTGAAATCAATTTCTTATTCTGAAATTTCTTTCTTTTATTTCAGAGAATATTAATTAACTTTTTTGAATAAAGTTTATCTACAGTGATTCATCCAGATATGAATAAATATAAATTGTATGCTTATGTAATGTATTTATATTCCTGTAGATAATATGAGTACCTACTACAAGTTTTTGGTTTTAATTGAGGTATAACTTGTGAATTAGTTTCAGATGTACAACATGATTATTTGATATTGTCCAGGAAAATGAGCACCACAATAAATCTAAATCTAGTTAACATCCATCACCATATACAATGACAAAACAATTCCTTTTGTGATGAGAATATTTATAAGATCACTCTCTTAACAACTTTCAAATATGCAGTACAGCATTAACAAGTCACCATGCTGCTCATTACATCCCTATGAATCATTTATTTTACAACTGGCAGTTTGTAACTTCTGACTACTGTCACTCATTTGGTGCGCTCCTGCCCCACTCAGCCCTCCTCAGCACTGCCAATCTGTTCTCTGTATCTAGAGCTTGGTTTTGTTTTTCTTTTAAATTCTACATATAAGTGAGATCATATGGTATTTGTCTTTCTCAAACTTATTTTGCTTGGCATAATGCCCTCAAGGTCCACCTATTTTGTTGCAAATGGCAAGATTTCATTGTTCTTTTATGGC